TCTCGGGGGCGCTAATAATGTGCGCCTTCTCGGGGGCGCTCATAATGAAGGCCTTCTCGAAAACTACGAATGTTTCGACCTGAGACATTTTCTGAGTCCTGTTTTCTGTTTAACGTCTAAAGATTTCGAACAACAGTACCCGCGCGCAGTTCCACACTTTTCAAACTTACGAGGTAACTTGACATTCGCCCCATCTTCAGGTGGAGTGTACTGTTTACAAAATCCTGCCCAATAAGAAAGCATCTCCTTGAAGAGGATACTTTGAGCCTCGTCAAAAAGCCCTGGCTCCTTTTGTTCCCTGGGGATTTTCTTCCCAGATGAAAAGACTTGTGCTTTGTGTATTATTCGGGAAGCAAGCTCAGGACCAATGTCAATCTGTAAACAAGAAATACACAAGTAAAGATGTCTCAATGTTTGTAGAGCTTCTATTGCTCTTTTTTTTTCTTCTTGCTTTTGATTATTAGGGACTAGCCATTATCTAATCCTACCGTGTAACTGTGACTGAAACAACCACTTGGCCATGGAAGGTCCTGGTACGAGTGCACTACACCCACGGGGCCGTTTTCTTTTTCACCTCTGACCGGCTAGCGGTGCCTAAGGCCTCAAACGTATTCGTAAGAGAAGAAATGCCCTTACCGAAGGCCATATAAGAAGGACCCTAGGCTGAACCTCTTTATATATTGCAAAACCTGAAACGCTCCTATGATGTTCTCACATTTACATGCATATGGCAAATCAACGGAGGCGTGGACCACGAAACGTCTCAGTGAACGTATTTTAAAGTTGTTGTTGTTGTTTTTGTTGTTTCCAAATGTTGTGCGGCTTTTCGATCCACGATCAAAATAAACAACCTCAACAAATTTGGCTTAAGAAAAGCAATTAGCAGGGATTTAGATGTGAAAACTTGGCAAACTTTCAAAGTAATGATGCACTGTTATTTATACTACTCAGTAGAAAAGAAATTAATTAAGTTTCCAGTTGTAACTCAACGCTGCTCACACATTGAGTAATCAGTGAATTTAGATTAAGACTCGGGCTCATTCAACAATATTTACATCGCCTTTGGAGTATAATTGATAAATACTGTCATGCACGTTTTCCGTAGTAAAATATGTTGCAACATGTGGAGAAAGATTTTCTCGCCTGACAAAATATTCACGGCCTCCAAAGCTGGTGGACAGCATCTTTGAAGTTTGGCGGCGCTTGCAAAAATTTTGGTCGGCTAAAAGAATCGTTCGCACCAAAACTGGCTTGATGTTGACAGTTTTTCGTTTGCTAATCAACTTTCATTTTATCGCGCGTAGTGCGATATGAATATTTTCTGACGTCAGACCTTAGTTGACAGATTTGACGGGAGACTGGCAAAAAACAGGTGTTGATTAAAACGCTTTTGGCTTAGTAAGGTCCCTTCACCTCAAAACCATGTTAAATTCATGCCGATGGATGGGTAAAAGGCCAATGCAGCGTAGATGTAGGCACCCTGCCTTTATCTCCTTGATTATTTTGTTTAGTACATGTATTCTGGGATCACTCTTGATTACTTCGCAACCTACACGTGGCGTTCGCTTGCAAGAATCAGACCTGCGCCATCCAGTGCCTTACAAGAAGTTAGGAAAGTGTCAAAATACTCCAGACGGCGTCATCGACTGCCCAGACATTCGTCAATTGGGTTCAACGCAACTTCGTAGAGCTCAGTTGGTGCTTACAAGAATTCTGCGAATCTTTGATCTCATTTCTAAAAAGTACAGTATAAAATACTGGTTGACTAGAGGCAGTCTTCTCGGAGCGGTCAGACATGGCGGCCACAATCCATTCGACGATGACATAGATATCTGCATTCCCAAAGCAGACTTTGAAAGGTTTGTCAAATATGGCCTGAAAGAACTTCCAGGTGATATATTTTTCCAAACAGAAGACACCGACATGTATTACAAAATTCCGCCACATAGTGGAATGTTGGGGAAACTTCGCGACACAAAAAGCTGTTATAAGTATTGTCTTCATAACGGCTGTAAGTTTGCGGACGGTTTACAAATTGACATGCTTGTATTGGACACGGACTCTGATGGTAATTTTTTGAACCTGTTCAGTCATTCCTCGTGGTTCTTAAGAAGGTTCATCTACGGGCCGATAAAAATAAAACGGACCGATATTTTCCCTTTGATTGAGGTGAATTTCGACGGGTTTGCAATACCAGCACCGCGTGAGTGGAGAAAACTTTTGACTTCATCTTACGGTGATTTTACGAAAATACCATACAAAAAACCATTGGCGCACCAAATAACAGATGCCTTGCGAAGTTGTGAAGAGATAAAAAATTAAAACTCTGACTTAAAATAAAATCCGCGGAGCTCCAAGTTTAATGTTTAAACTTAATTTCGCTTCGCCTGAATTTTGTAGTTTATATTAATTCTGTAGCATTTACACTAGTTGACGTATCTAATGTGTCGGTCATAAATTATTAAAAGTTTTAAAATAGATTTCATCGGAAAACTGCCAGAATTTAACATTTCCTAACACTTTATGAAGAAACGATTTCCACTAAAAAGAACAAACATATCGAAGTTTAGAGTTAAGAACTTTTTCTAAATTAACGTGAGAAATGACGGAACTGCATTAAGGTAGTTAATTACAAACAAAAAATTAAGCAAATGCTCTTTAAACTGACAAAGGTTGATGTTTCGGCTTATTCATTATTCATTATTCATTTCGTTTTTGTGTAACCTCCCGACTTGACAGCTAATCCATATGAAAAATGGCGTATATTTGTTTGAACTTCGAGCTTTGGCAAACAGTGACACGGAAATTACAAATGGTTTCAGCGTAGAAGTTTATCTTGTATCAAACGAAGTCGATAACGGAAAATATTTCCATTGTTTGGACCATCTTAGTAGCAACACCAGACTATCGACAGTCTCACTTTATAAATTCATAAATTACCCTCATGCAAATCTTCTCAAAAATGAGAAGATGTTGAATATATCTCCAAATTGAACATTTCACAGCGAAGCGGCATAACCTTTCGAATAATTTTCTTTCCTAGAGCATAAAGAATAAATGTTATTTTTTTGAATGAAGAGGATGCTTCATTCGTCAAAAAATGCCTTAATCACCTTTTCGTTTTCGAAGTCAGCCTGAATTGGCAAATTTGTCGTCCCCTTTCCCTACCCCGCGGAGGTGTAATGTTGGCCAAAGCCTCATTAATACATACAATTATTCAGTTTGATTTTGAAATGTTTTTCTTTCGGAAGTTACCAATTTCTAAAAAAGAAACACTCGACAGTAGAGCAGTTATGTGCTTTTATCACGCGCTGCATGACAACGCGAACTAACACCTGCAACTGAAACAAATTTTAATAGTACAGAAAAATAGCGGGTGGCGTCAAAATAAAATGGTCTCCTGCTTAAGATAATTAGCATAAATTTTCCAATAGGTTTGATCATTGATGGAGTATCAAGAAAAAGAAGTTTCGCAACAGTATTGAAAAACGAAATGGTACACAGAAGCCTTTTCTTTTGTGCGTTTTTCAGTCGAACAAAGGCACGCGCGAAGTGCAAATTCTTTAAGTTTCATCTGTCGGAGGGTGGGGAGGGAGGGGGCAAATGACAAAAACAAAAACAAAAAAAATTGATATGGTCTCACCTGTAGCCAGGGAGGGGTAGCTGAGTCCAAGAAACACTCGATTATTGCCTCTACTTTACGATTTAGGGAAACCTAGGAAATGAAAACAAAGCAATCCATCATTTAGAAATGGGGGCTTATTAAATGAAACTGTTACCAAAATCAACGAAATTACGCAAAACTTACATCGTCCAGGTAGTTAAACAATTCCTATAGATAAAGAGAAGGAAAAATTAAAATTTCATATATGAGTACTAGAAAATCAGTTATCTGTGAGATGGGAAACGAAATGGGGAGAGAAAGTCCTGGATTTTATGTGGTCGAGCTATTTCGGTGCTGGCAATTAATAAGTGACACATGCTCTGTTCCAAAAGAAAGAGTCTCATGATATTCTTTGCACATGCGCCGATCCATCAGGCTTTGGAGCATCAATTACCTTGCGTAATGTTTTGCAGTTCTAAATTTGTAAACTACGATTCCTGGAAGTCTCAAATTTTCCTTTAAGCTTACGGGCGCCAAGTTTCTTGAATTTCTTACCTTGAACTTCTGAACCTCTAAATAAAATACAAGATCGTTCTCTAAGCGAGGAAAGCCATCCGGTTCACCATGGGCCTGCAAATATCGCCGGAAATATTCCATTTTAACCGAAAGACGTCCGTGCATCGACTGCAGAACTTTCTTAAAGTTATCTTTGTCTTCTTTAGAGGGAGCGGATCGGCCAGTGCTCTAAAATATGCAAAAAAATAAGTTTTTAAATTGATATTATAAGAAATAAATGAGTGAATGGATAAAAAGGTAAAAGGCTAAAAATAAATGAGGGAGAGATTGCACGTAGTTTAACTCTGCGCATGAGACACAACCAGGCCAGCGAGGAGCTCGGCAGAAAAAAAAAAAACCATGCCGTGCGTAAGATGACTTAGCGCTTAATCGATCTCTATGTTGTCACACATACATTGCTATTACGAAACTGTTACCGGCACTTCTACATAGGGTGGAACCTTGATTAAGAACGGAAATTGGAACATAGCTGCCGGCCGGAAAATCTGGGTAGACTAGTCCTCTTGTAAACTTAAGTGCAGGGTGCGTCCAGTCTGCTACGAAAATTTTTAGAACATGCAAATACACTCTGGGAAAGAATTGGCCTTGTATGTTCAGGTTTCTAAGTGACGAGATTTACCGGTGATGCTTGATGAAGCAGAGAGAGAATCCCTGTGAAAAAGGACGCTTTCCGGCACAATAACGAATCAAATTATTCTGTTTTAACGTTATATGAACCTTATTTTTTCTCGCCCTTCTTCTGTAAAGCTGAAGGAAGCTCTGTGAACTCTCGAATGTGTCACCCTTATTAAAACTTCCAGGAGTGTTCGGTGTACCCTCACGTCGGCCAGCGGTGTCCTGCGCATGCTGGAACAATCAGTGGAAAAAAAAAACAAAGTTATACCCAATTGATTAATATGTGAGAGGATTAGAGCAAAAGTACTTTTCCAGATTGGAGTCCCCACGATTGAGTGTTACATGAGCCAATCAAAACACCGACAAATATCGCAAAGAGCCAAAGGAGCTCAAAGTCTATTCATGTTAACGGCCTCCCTCCAAGGCGGGAAAACGTGTTTACTTATTCATGAAAAATGAGAAAGTTCAAGTCTTGAGGCTTAAAAGGAAAAAAAAAATGAGACCAAATGAAAAAACTGAGTGAGCAAAGAGAGGGGCCTGCTTCGAGCTAAAAACTCACTCCCTCTCGGCTTATTCGAGACTCGATTGACAAAGGCCAGCATGTGTGGGGTCATAGTCTTAAGATTTAGATATGACTTTTGTGAAAAGTCTGCTCTAGCCACGTATTTTACTTTAAGTTATATTAACCGTTCATAACAACTGTGGAATTCTGGTCGGTTAGGAGATCGTCATTTCCAATCACAAAAGCTTACTACAAAACGTAAGCTCGATTTCCGACCATTTCTCGGATGCAGTCTTCGATCCTACCGAGCAGATCTTACGTTGATCGGTACGGGGAGGAGCGCAGTTCATTTCAACAACAGCGGTCGGTAATCGAGCCTATACAAAGTCTAACTGGATAAAATTATCTTTCAAATCTTTTTCATAAGTGCAAAACATAATTTTACCTTGAAAAAACTTTTGAAGTAAGTCTGGACATCACCAAGCACAAATTGCTGCGCCGCGGTAAAGACTGGAGACGTGGGTCTCTCTCCATCGACCTGGTTGAGTAAGGACTGGGGAAGACCCACCGATCTATCCACAAGAATCAAAGAAAGACAAACGATTAGAGCGAAGTCCATCTATACAAATACATCAATGACTGAAAGAATGAAAGAATGATATTATACATTTACCTTCTAGATGTGGAATCAAAGTAGGTTCTGGAAGAAAGTTGAGAAAGAAATCAGCATGGAGTACAAAAACTCTGATTTCAGAGAGGTAAGTTTCTAAAGAAACTGTGGGTGCTACGTCGGTGGGGGGTATAACAAGGTAATTTTGGTTTTACCAACTGAGTTGATAATGTGAATTAGCCACCGTAAAGAGTTTCCAAGCTGATGGCTCGAGCGTTAGCCCTTCTTCCCTACCAACTGAAATATTTCACAGTAACCTTACTTGTAAATAAGCGTTGCTTGTTGCGTTTTCTGAACTTTTTTTGCCGGTAAAATGGCGTTGTATTGCTCGATTTCCAAGTACATTAAAAGTTGGTTCAAAGACTGCCTTCCCTCCATGTTCTGAACGTATTGCTTAAAGGCCGACATGGTTCTATAAAAAATGAAGAGTAACAGTAACGAATGAGTGTCACATCAGCCAATCAAAACACAGATCAATATTGCAAAGAGCCAATGGAGCTCAAAGTCTATGCATCTAAACCGCCTCCAGTCGTGAAAATGTATCCCCATTCAGGACGTCATAACAAGTTAAAGCGCTGTCAGACCCAAGAAATCCCAATCTACTCTCAAGCATTGACCATTGATTGAAGTTACTGATACCTACCCTTTGTTCTCTAACACGTCCACAAAATCCGGTACAGCGGCCTTGGCAGCTTCTCCCTGTTTTTTCTTGTCCCCGTCAGACCCTTCGTCATCGGAATCTATCGCTTTCTTTTTCTTAGAGATGAAGGAAACATTCTTCGATGCTTTACTCTTCTTCTTGGCTTTGGGTTTCGCCTTCTTAGCCTATGACAGAAGGACACGGTAGGAGAAAGGTTTTAAAAGAATAATGGATAGTTAAATAACATTACGTCTGTTTAAGCAGAGTCTTGCACACAGTACCGGCTGTAGGAATATCATCATTGCACCGCGCGTCACGCGCGAGTAAACTGAAGAGGTACACGAAAATGCGTGTAGAAAATTACACGAAAATTCTTCATAGTGCGAGACTCAAAACGAGACTACAAACAGTTGATTGGCAGAGCTGTTCATCTGATCGTACCATGCGTTTGGTAAAGGGACGCAATATCAACTCAGAGAGAATGAAGGAAGAGGCTTGGGTTCGGGTCTCCTATCTCCCACAATTTTAGTTTTGCGCTACAGTCGCACCCCTAACTGAATCCTACAACAGGACTCCGAGCTGTTGAGAACGCTTCTTCACAAAGACCTTTACCTTAGACGGAGATCGAAAATGGGCTTTCTCCATTTAGGTTCTTCGGTTTTTAGGGCTTTATGGCTTTTATAACTCTACCACAATAGAGAATTTCTCCAGCCCTTAGAAGTACTCCTCGTCTGCATTACACGATCTCATTGGTAATTCTCCAGCTGTCTGCCATACAATTCTTATGATATTAATTTGGAGAATTTGGTATCGGATCAACTTATTATCCCCTGATTGATATTTTTCTTTATTCTCATCACTCGTCTGCTCGCAATTGTATTGATATCGTAAGGAGAAATTCTGTCTTGGTCGCTCATGAGAGTTAAAGGGTTAACGATTTAATCTTACCATTGCTATTCAACTCTGAAAGCCAAAGTAATATTCTTTCTCCCAATTCAGCATCTCTTTCCAAAACGTGCTTCTTATTTTATTTTATTTTATTTAGCTTCGCCAACCGGCAGGGAAACCGCAACAGCTTGCGCCGATTGCTGCGGGTCCAATAAACCCACCCATCTTACCCCAGGGGAGGACATCCATCACACGGTAATCTCGTGTGTGGGAAATTAACGTCTCCTACCCCAACCCTGCAGGAGACGGGACCTCCATTTATCCCCTCCGCCAGCCCTCTCTTTTTGTGGAGCCTTTGTTTGGAGGGTAGCATACCTTGGAGGGTTGTGGGATGGACGGCCGTGTTGGTGATTGGATCCGAGGAGACGAACGATCAGCGTCGATTTCCTCAGCCATTGTTAATGACGTATACAGTCGCCTCTGTCTCTGGGAAGGTGTGGATCCCGGATGTCTTATAACCACAAGTTAAAAGTAAGATTTAAAAAAAAAAAACCATGATAATGATGTCGATAATAATGATGACGACGATGATGATCGTAACAGTGGCCATGGTAAATACATGAATAAATAATGCAAAAGTTATGTGATCGTATCTTTAACTATACATGTAAGACTCTCTTTGCCAGCCTCGTTCTCAGTGACTCGTGTTTCCATTTTTATAGATTTTTAAATTTTATTTTAATCTTTTCTTAACTAAGGAACTAACAATTGCTAAATCTTAAACTTGTCTTTGAGAGGTTTTTTTGGTCATAATAAACTACGGCAGGGGAAGTTTCCCTTTTCGGGCTACCTAAAAGCAGTTTGCCATCTTTAAAAGAAAAGGGTGATTGAGAAACCCTTGTAGCGAATTTAACATTTTATAATTTCCCTCCCGCAGAAGATAGTTTATCAATTCATTTTGCACTCGCGGAAATTACTCCAGACCTCTCGAACAGTTCCCATATGGACAGCTCAACCGAATGCTCATGGACATGCGCATAACCCTTAATCCACCACACCCAATAAATCTAATTCATTACCTTTTCACCCAGCGTCCCGATGTCGGCGAGAAATACCGACTCTTCTCTTCA